TTTTTAACAACAGCAACCAAACAAGAGGTAACTATTGAGCCTGTTTATATACACTGCAACACCTCATGAGATTTCATTTCTTGGTTTGGAGGCTTAGGGTCATGTTTTCAAAGGACATCTCAGTTAATAGGCCTAATAACTTTCTGTTCGACCTCCTAGTTGTATAGTGCCTACAATCTTAAAAACTTGAAAGATGCCATCCAAGTCACAACAACTGGTGTCTATTTACCTGGAACAACAGAGGAAGGATCAGAGTCAGGAATAGGAGGAAGCTATAAAAGGTGTGGTCAATTGTCTCCATAAGTTAAATAGTTGTTTGGACTGAGAACATACCCTCTCGTTGGCTATGAGACCAGAAGAACTGGATGGTGCCTGGCAAAACAGAATATGAACTCTAGACTTTCTAGAACCATGAAGGATAGATGAACCCTTGAAATTATTGTCCTTAAGCCAAAAATATACTCTGAAGTCTTATTAAAACTAACAAGTTTTAAGAACTACCTATGTTGTTGTTATGTGCCGTAGAGTCGATTCCGACTCATAGCGACCCTGTACAGGGTTTCCGAGGCTGTAAATCTTTACGGGAGCAGAAAGCTTCATCTTTCTCCCGCGTAACAGCCGGTAGTTTTGAACTGCTGACCTTGTGGTTCGCAGCCCGATTCATAACCACTACACTATCAAATTGACAACTGAAACTTGAAAGATTAGATAGGAAATTTAGGGGACAGGTTTTTTTATGCTAATGAGGGAAAAATAACTGCGAAAAGGAAGAATTTAATTAATGTCACTAAATTGTACAGGTAGAAACTATTGGTGTATGTTTTGCTGTGTATAATCTCAACAACAAATTAAATAAAATTTAAAGAAAAATTAACATAAGTTTTATTCTTTTGCATATATTGATACATGGAAAGTGGGCTGATGTAAAATGTTTTTGTTGTTATAACTAACAGGGATATTTTTATCAAAAAAATAAATAAATTTCTGTTGAAACACCATTAAAAAAAAAAAAACTAAACTAAAAAGTCATTGGCAGGCACCTGGAAGCTAAAAGAAGTAGTCAGGAAGGAATTGGAAAAGGGAGTCTAGCTCAGCTGGAAAACATATTATAACCGCACGAAATGTTAAGAGGAGAACTATTGACAAAGTAGTTCCCTATGAAATTCCTTCTAGACAAAATGAAATGAGCATACAGCACACATGCACACAGAACACTGAGTAAAAACTGAAGCTGTATTTTAGCAGAGGTGGGCAGAAGGCTAGCAGGCAGAGAAACTTTGAGGTAATGACAACTTGACCTTTTCATTAGTAATTGGACCGAGTCTGGAAGGGAGACATAGAGAATAGCAGAGAGTAGATTAAGGAGAATGATGAGATTTCTTTTTCAAACAGGAACTTATTTTGAGTATTGCACATGCTCTATTTATAACTAATACATTTTTACATATCTGTGTTCAAGGGCAGTCTTCCTTCTGGGCACTCCCTAAGAACAAGGTTAATAGTAGTCCAGATGATATAATAGATTGATTGCTTTGAAAATAAAATCATAGAATGCAGTCACTTAAAACTTATTGCATTATAGGAACTAGGGAATCCACCTTTTAAATATCGGGAAATGATATATCTAACTGCTGAATTTCACCATACACACACACACGCAGACAGCTGCTGTCAAGTCAATTTGGAATCACGTTGACTCCATGTGTATCAGAGTAGACGTGCACTCCAAAGGGTTTTTGAGGACAGTAACCTTTTGGAAACAGATCACCAGGTCTTTCTTTTGATGTACCTCTGGATCCACCAACCTTTTGGTTCCTAGCCAAGTGAATAACCATTTGTACCACCCAGGAACTCCCAAATTTCAAGATATTAACCACTTCCTCTTTTACCATTCTTTAATATGCCTTGCTCAGAATCTTTGTGCAGCCCTCAAATTTTTCAGTACAGTGAATACAAAGTTTCTAGACATCTATAAGAGACGTATAAGTAGATGAATTCTATTGTAATGTGTATGACACTAGACCCTTGTAATGCAACTTAATCCAGTCTTCCATTTGTGTTGCACACATCACTGGTTTGAAATGTGAAAAGATTCAGTATAGAGACTCAAGAAAAATTTTGTTCATCATCTGAACACTCACCACAGTATAATAATTCTTGGTAAGTGGAGCCGTTTCAAGTCCTTTGACAGCCTTGGGGGACAGAGACCTTTCTGCGGGGGGAAAAAAAAAAAAAACATTTAAATGACTTTAATATCATATAAGTCTAAGACAAAAATTGTATAATGTAAGATCAAATAGCATATTATAAACATTGCCAAATAAAAGGATTGATAGAAACATACATTTTCAACAAATGAAATTATATCTTTACTCAACTATAGGTGATCAGAGTCACATCAGCTTTGCTAAACTATAGATGATCAAGTTAGGTCTTCTTGCTGAAGTCCCTTAAGTTCCAAGGTAGATTCAAAAGCTAAGGAACTAAGGTCTGGCTAATTAATAGTAGGGCTAGGACCAAGAACTTCATTCTCATTTTGGATTTGCTTCTATCTTCCAGTCTACTCCATTCAACGTGTTCAAAAGAGATAAGCAAAATCAAGGCCAACCAAACATATAAAGAGTAGTCTGGGCAAGATGGCGGAGAAAGCAGACACACTAAGTCGACCTTCTGCAACAAAGACATGGGAGACTAAATGAAACAGACACAGACTGTGATCCTGGGACCTGGATCATCAGAGGATAGGATAGAGAAGTGGATTGAGTGCCTACTGGAAGATAAAGCTGAATAGGAACAGTGAGAGAGAAGAAAAACGGGTGGACTGTCGGCTGATATGCTGCGTGGCTGTCTTGAGCTTTTGCAAGCAACTGTTGATAAAGAGACTGGTGGTTGGTGGCAAGGAGATGCAGTTCTCCCTTGTTCCTGTGCCTTCATGTTAGCCTGGGGCATGGTCATTCTCCACCCTCACCAACCCAGCAGTTAGTGGTACATCATTACCTCCATCCTCCTCAACCCCCACCCACCACTTGTGGAGTCTCTGCTCTGCCTGGGGTTGAGTGCTGGGCATAGTACCCCTGCTTCTGAAAGTGCATGAACCCACCTTGAACTATGCTACACAAACAGTGAACAGAGAACTAAGTGCATTCACACTTCCAGTCTCTACCATATCCACCAGGAGACAGGCGGTGAATGCCTGAGAACACACCGATATACAATCATCGACTAAATATAAATATGACACAACAATGTCTTGGAGAAAATAGACAATTTCAGCTTACACAAAGAAACAAGACACACTGTCTCAAACAAGTTAGCAAAGTACAGGGTCAGAAAATATAACACCAGAAATGGTATAAGAACTACCATTTCAGTTAAAGAATTTAAAAGAATGCAAATTAGGCAACTTCAAAATTTTGAGAGGAAGCTCGAGAAAACTACAGATGAAATCAAGGTAAACATAGGCAAAACTATGGGAAAAATCAGGAAAAAAATGACAAAATAATTGGAAAACTAGGAGCCATAAAAATTAACCATTAGAAAGCCATAATTTGTGTCTCCTTTACATTGAGGTACAACCCATACCGAAGGCTGTGGTCTTTGATTTTAATCAGTAAGTATTTTAAGTCCTCTTTACTTTCAGCAAGCAAGGTTGTATCATCTGCATATAGCAGGTTGTTAATGAGTATGCCTCCAGTCCTGATGTCATGTTCTTCTTCATATAATCCAGCTTCTTTGATTATGTGCTCAGCATACAAGTTGAGTAAGTGTGCTGAGAAAATACAACCCTGGGACACACCTTTCCTAATTTTAAACTGTTCAGTGTCCTCTTATTCTGTTCGAGCAACTGACTGCCTCTTGATCTATGTACCGGCTCCTCATGAACACAATTAAGTGTTTCAGAATACTCATTCTCTGAATGTGCTGTCCATAGCTTGTCATGATCCACAAAGTTAAAAGTCTCTGCATAGTTAATAAAGCACAGGTAAACATCTTTCTGGGCCAGGTTCGGCAGAGTGGAAGTAAGCCACAAAGGCAGCACTGAGGGTTAATTCTGTCACTACTCAGTGATGACAAGTGGGACATAGCCAGCCTCTGGAAGCTCTATGCTACACAAGATCTACCTTGTACTTCATTAAAAGCATTACTAGGCAAACCTGAGATTGTAAGCAGTACGGTCAGATCTTGACCCCAAGCAGTATGCAATCTAGCTTTGCTGTTCAAAATTGACAATTACAAAACAAAACAAAATATGTCTTTATTAGGCAAGTTTTCTATAATGTAGCTATAATGATTTGTAACTCATAGTAGCTTTGTGCAATTATAATGTAAAGCAGTCTTGATAAAAATGAAACTTCCCAGGCTAAAAGGATGGGAGCAGTGGAGAACCTGCCAAAACTGGAAGAGGAAAGGAAATGTAACAGGAATGGGTGATACAAGTGATGCAAAATGTTAATTATATAAAGTAGACAGGAGGAGAAACAGTGATTGAAAAGTGAGAAGTGGCTGCCTTGAGATTCCTGGAGTGGTTGAACATGATTCAAAAAGAGCTAGTTCTTTGAAAAGATAAATAAAATTATCGAACAAACTGCTAGCACGAGAAACAAGAGAGAAGACACCAATTACCAACGTCAGGAATGAAACCTGCAGACATCAAAAAGATAATAAACCACTCTACATATATGCATTTGACAACTTAGATAAAATAATTCCTTGGAAAACAGAAAGTACCACAATTCACTCAATAGGAAATAGGTCATTTGAATATCCCCTATAATTATTAGGGGACTGGAAGGTGTAGTTTTTAAACTCGTGAAAAAGAAATCTCCATGTCTATATGGTTCCACAGAACAATTCTACAAAATGTTTAAGGAAGAATTCTTACAAACTTTACAGAGTCTCTTAAAGGAAATATAAAATGAAAGATCACTTCCCAATCCATTGTATGAAGTCACTATTACCCTCACATCAAAATCAGAAAAAGACAGTACAAAAAAAAAAAGAGAAAATTGCTTACCAATACCCCTCTTGGATAGTGATTCAAAAATCCTTAACAAAATACTAGCAAATAGATTTCATTGATAAACAAAAAAAATGATATACCATGACCAACAGCGATATAGCCTAGAAAGTCAAGGTTAGTTTAATATTCAAGAGTCTATGCAGTCAACTCTATAAACAGAGTAAAGAAGAAAGATTGTATCAATTGATGCAGAAAAAGTATACTATATCCATGTCAACATCCTGGCTGTGATATCGTGCTGTATTTTAGCAAGATCTTACCATTGGGGAAAGGAGCTCTGGTAGTATAGTGGTTATGAATCGGGCTGCAAACCGCAAGGTCAGCAGTTTGAAACTACCAGCTGCTCCATGGGAGATCGATGAGGCTTTCTGCTCCCGTAAAGATTTACAGCCTCAGAAACCCTGTTCAGGGTCGCTATCGGTCGGAACTGACTCGACGGCACTTAACAACAACAACAACCATTGGGAAAACTGAGTAAAGGATGTATGGGTTCTCTCTGTTTTAATTAATACAACCACATGTGAATCTACAATAATCTCAAAATACAAAGTTTAATTTTTAAAAAGTAAAATACAGTTTACTGAAGTCATTAGTCCCTCTGGATTTTCAAAGCTCCTTAAATTGCACAAGCCTAAGAGAATTAAGTCCATATACCCTTAATTGCTAGAGAAATAAAGAAATCTGTCTTGGTAGAAGTACAGCCAGAATGCTCCTTAGAAGTGAGAATGGCGATACTTGGTTTCATGTACATTGGACATGTTATCAGGAGGGACTGACCAGTTCCTGGAGAAAGACGTCATGCTTGGTAAAGTGGAAGGTCAGCAAAAAAGAGGAAGACCTCAAGAAGACAGACTGACACAGTGGCTGCAACAATGGGCTTCAACATAACAATGGTTGTGAGAATGGCACAGGACCAGACAGTGTTCCGTTCTGTAGTAAGCAGGGTCACCATAAGTTGGAACCAACTCCACAGCACCTAACAACAATACCAACAAGACAATTAAAGTTTCCATAACACTCTCTCCCCAATTTCAGTAGGCTGACATCATACTGAAGCTATCTATAAGTTGATCCTGCTAGAGCCTTTATAAAAACCCTTTTACTATGGGTATTTCCCCAAATTACAAAAGTAGAACTGTTGTCAAGCTGATTCCAACTCATAGTGACCCTGTATAGAATTTCTGAGGAGAGATTGGTGGGTTTGAACCACTGATCTTGTGGTTAGCAGTCCAGTGCTTACCCTACAATGCCACACCAGAACTCCAAAGTAGAATGTTGTTGTTAAATGCCGTCGAATGGGTTTCAACTCATAGCGACCCAGTATAGGGTTTCTGAGTAGTAGCTGGTGGGTTTGAACTGCCCACCTTGTGATCTGCAGTCCAGCACTGATCCTACAGTACCATACCAGTAGAACAGTACTCATGAAAGTCAGTTTTCTGTTTTCCAAACCAGAGTGCTTTCAACTATGTTCTGTAGAAACCCTGGTTTCAAGCACATGTCATAAATAGTAACTTGCTGAGTGCCTGCTATGTGGTAGGCAATGTACTAAATGTCTTGCTATCTTACTGCTGGCTCACACTCGTTCTCTAGGTAGAGAGGTAAGATTATTAAAATGATTTAATAGATAATGAAAGGTAGGCTCAAAGAGGCTGATTTGTCCAAGGTCTCACAGTCTCTATGACTCCAAAGCACATGCTGTTAACCTCAAGGTCTCCCCAAGATGTCCTGGGCAGAGAGTCACTGGTTGACATGGTACTTGTGAATTACCCCAATGCCTCTTGTTCTTGCCTCTGAATTGCAGTGGAAGCTACATAGAGAAGAAAGGTTCTTCCTGTGGGCTTGGTCTAAGATCACGGATCAACTCAACCTACAGAAGGAAAACAGATTTGGAAGGACAAACTAGAAGTCTTAAAAAATGTAACCCATGCAAACCACTGACCCCATGAGAAAATTCCATAAGGGAATGTAAAGATCACAGCCACAGCACTCTGACATCAGTGACAGTTTCTTGACTCTTGTTCCTTCTTTGTCCCCTCCCCAAGCATTGTGACTGCTTCCACCTGAAACCCACACTCAACAACAGCTAACTATGTGGAAACCCAGAAAAGGCAAGTTCTGTCACAGAGGGGTGACGTGATGAGACCCAAATAACATGAAAATATCAACATTTTAATTGAAGGCAATGAAAAGTT